CTTTCTCTTGTAAATATCCAGCATGTTTACCTTGGTGATATATGATTAAATTGAAGCCGTAGAACTAAAATCAAAATAACTGGTGAATAAGCCTTTCACATTATGTCAAAGTCTCATGCTCTCTGCTTCGTTGTTGGCCAGTCTTTACCTCTCTGCTAAAGGACCTCATGCAAGGAGAAGAAATAAATTGCTTTGAAAGATAAATCTCTGGGGAGGTACAGTTCAGAAGGTTGGTTTTCCTTGGGGCAGAGTGGAGTTCAAAGAAAGGTTTGTGAATCCATCAATAATGGGTGCAGTGTGCATATAGATTTCAGTATTGGATCGACATGTGCTAAGAACATTAATTAATTGTTTTTGTGACAGTTTGACTAAGCTGCCATGGTATCCCAAGACAGCAGATAATACAGTACATATAAGTGAAGTTCAAGCATTACATATTAAAAGTGTATTTTTTATTTTCATTATCTGCTGTGTTTTGCTAGCTTTGTAACTTTGGTTCTTTTTGAGTAATGAGCTTTTAAGGTTTTAAGGTATTGTAAAATGCTTTGAGATGATTACTTTTAAAGTCACGATTTAAAGCATGTAAATATTAGATATTAAACAGAAATGTTGAATATCGTGTCCGGTATATATTAATATGTAGATATATTTACATTTAAAATGCAAGAATCAAATACAGTATAAAAAATGATAGTTGATATTAGGGTATGGTGACACCTCCATATTACTGTACATACATGAAGCCTGCATTCATGGGTTATTACTGCCTGTCACTCCTCCTCCAACCCATATAAGAGACTTTGATTTTGAAATGAAATGGTCTCATCTCATCTTTATAGCAATGGTATTGCACAATGTTTTCTTAGGTTTATGTCCAGGTTCCACTTCATCATAAAACCTGGGTCTTCAGGACAGTTTTGATAATTGCAACATGAGCCCTGAACAGGCAATGCCTTTTCCTGAAGGTGTTTTTAAAACAATATGCACATGCACATTGCTTGTGAAAAAAAAAGTTCCCGCATCTCAGCCTAGTTTATGCACACTGTAGATCCGCATTATCTTCCTACCATCCTGGTGTGTCATCTGCCAAATGAGCAGTAATAAAAGCTAATAGTTTTATTACTTCTAAATGGCCATATTCAAAAGTAATGTGACAATGCAGTTAGGGGAGGAGGGCATCATCTTAGATCTCTTCTGCTACTTATCCTGCACAGATCTATAAGACCGATAGGGTAGTTTTAGTACTAATTGAAACATTCATCCAGCCTTTATCAGGAAGCCTGCTGTGCTGATGAGGATCTCGACAAAGCCTGTTCCAGAAGCATAAAGCACAAACCAGGAAAAGAGCACAAAGCCCGGAGAAGGGGAAAATCTGAAATAACCGGCTAACACGTCAGCACCTGGCAAACAAGCATGCAAACATGGGGAGATCATGCAAGCTCTGCCGAGAAATGCCTCAAACCCAGAAGCTAGGAGGCAGAACAACTAACAAACAAACCACTGTGCTGTCTAATTAAAACAATTCATAGTAAAACAAAGCTCAAAATGTACAGTATCAGTATCAGTATGTACAGTACAATAATTACAATTTGAGTAAAATTCAAATGACCTGTTGATTTCAAAGCCTGTTGTTAGTGCAGGTGGGCCTCAGTTTAACTCCATGTAAATGGATGAGGTTGACATAAACTAATGGAAATGAGAAAGTGTGCACATTAAATACTACACAATGTGGATAACATGTATTTAACTTGGAAAACAATGCCCAGTTTTGGCTATTACAAGTAAAATACACTGGTATACACTTGTTATGTTTTTAATATTACGTTAATTTCATCTCACACGAAAACCAAGAGTATATGTACCAATCGCAAATATCCTAACTAACATTGCAGAAAAAAAAAACTGTGACTAATAGGAATACTGTGAATGCACTGAGTATTTGTTTAATGTTTTTTATGCACAATGGAAGGATTCAGGGTTGTAGGTACAGTATTGGTAGAATGGACATGTCATTTTAAATTCTACTTCACCAAGTGTATAGTTTCTTCATGGAATATTTACCTGTATGTAATTGTTTCATTTCTCTTTTGCAGTATAACATTTAAGATTATTTCATTTAAAATTTGATTTTATAATCTTAACATGCCATGGGGGTAAAGTCCAGGGACATTTTCTTCCAACACATGGCTGACATGAAAATCACAGAAGGCACCTAGTGTTTTAGAAGGTACAGTATATAAGAGATATGTTTTCAACAATATTTAAGGAATATTTTCCCTCAAAATTGAGTTGAAACAATCTAAGGCATCTCCCATGTTTCTAAACCTCTTATAATGTAAATAATGAAAACTAAATTTTCTTCGCCAAAGAAGATTTTTTAACTCTCCCATGATATAAGCATGGTTAGGATTTTCAGCACTGATGTACAAGTAATCGAAGTGAATCTAAGGGTGAAAGTAATGTTTAAAAAGTAATCTTCACATTATTGACAGTAATTCTATTCAGATTGTTGGATTAAGCAAGAGTATTTGAATTGTATTAAGATCACTCTTGTTTTGTAACACTACTGCAGTGATTTGACTTGTAATCTCTTACTGTTCTATACTGGTAATAAATTACAAGATTAATTAATAGCAGCATCAACAGACTCTAGTTCAAGTTTTTTTGTGTGTCCTGTTGCATTTTAAATGGTAAAATTGAGTTTTATAGAATTCAAAAACATTTGGCATATTTGAAGATTTTTTATGTCTGTTTGCACAAGCTGTGCCACAGTGTCGTTTTTGTTTACAGGTTTGGGGCTTTGGAACATTTAAATGTGCAAATACTATGATATACTGTGTATATTATGACTACTGTAAGATGATTACAATTGTAATCAATTTTACATATTGTAGATTCCTTATGTGACAGGGAGCATTTGTTAAAAAATATCTCTCCATCAAAGGAAAGCTAGTCGGATTTCAGAAAAGAGTTTACCCTAGAGGATATCATCAGTGGTTACTTTAGGGTGGGTGAACCATAGAAGTATTATCTTTCGCTACAGCTCAAAGCCCTTACAGAAACATTATGTGCAGGTGAAGGCTTTCTGAAAGAGGCTTAGAGTTCATGCCTGATAAAGTCAACAGCACTGGGAATTTAATGCATTACTATATTGCCAACAAACCTACCAAGAAAACCACTGGGGTTTCATGTGGTTTGTTGATCTAACTAATAAAAGGCATAAGCTTGTGAAGTAGTATCCATTTCTTATAGGCTAAACATGAAAATGTCACAAATCACTATACTGTAAGTTTAACTATTTTTTTATTTGTTGTTGAATTATGATTTACTGTACTGTTACTGTGCGTGAGAGTCTATCTTTTGCGCTGAAGAGAAAGTAACTGTCTCCACTTTTTTGCTGTGATTTATTTAATGTAATATAGTAGATATGTTACTGTATATCTTCATTGACTTCCATCCCAAATTGTCACTAAGTGTGTAAAAATTTCAGAAGCATGCAAAATAATTCAGGAAAGAATATATTCTGCTAGGACAGTGTAGCAACCAGCATTCCTAACTTACAATAACATTTGCTCTCTGCACTCTATGACAGCAAAATATTTTTTCACTGAATATAGTTAAAAGAGCCAAAGGATAAAATGCATCATGAAATGATGCTGCCTGTACGTTTTGATTTCGACCATGTGTGATTGTGTACTGTACTATTCCTTTTTAGGAATGCCTAATTTTCAACAATACTGTATGTAAAAGAAACAGTTTCCCTCAAAGCTGACTGGAAACGATCCAGGGTGTCTCCCGTGTAATCCATGTGGACATGTACTGAAGAGTATGTATGCATTGAGTTAAATAATAACTTACTACTGTAGTTATGCTAAAGTAAAAGCAATTTTACTTTAGCAATTACTTTAGCAATTTCAGTTCTGGATATAATACAGTATATTCCTTTTTATTTGGTACTATTTGTATGGTCATATTATCTCATAATTTTGAAGATACCCAATAAAAATACCCAATGCTTACCCCTTTGTGTTGCCTCTAAAACTCTTAGTACCTTTGTCTAAAACTTTAATTCGATTTCAGAAATGAAAACATCTCCACTCTTTTTTTTCCCCTCCCACAACAGTGCTGGCATAACATGTCGTTGCAAAACCTATTAGGTGCTTCCACAGGGAATGTCTAGCATGTACATGCCAGAGTCAGTCCATGTCACTATGTGTCAGGTCTCAAAAGGCACGCCTAAAGGTTACGATGAAGCTTATGATTATGATGGTTATTGGCATTTTGACTTTAGTTATTATACAATGAAGTATTACACTATAAAAAGCATGTAGTATCATCCGCTTAATCAAGATAAGATGTCACTAGGTGGCTACGGTACTCAGTGTACAACAGTGCAATGCAGATTATACTTCACAAATGCAGTTACTGTATAATAACACATATTTATATATCCTCTGATATCTATTTATTTTTATAGTGGGAGGCACGGTGGCTCAATAGTTCAGTTGTGGAGGTGCTTTTTGCAGGACGTTTTATGTTCTCCGTGTGTTCTTGTGGGTTTCCGGAAGAATTTGCCCTGATGTGAGTGTGTGGCTGAAATCTCATCCAGGGTGCACCCTGCCTTGTGCCTGTTGATTGCTCTGGCTCTGGCTCCCCCACAACCCTGAACTGGAGGAAGTGGTTGGAAATGGACTCATGGATACTTGTGTTTTTGTGTATTGAATAGCTGATACTTCACAGTTTAGCACCATTGAGACTGTGCATATATACAGTACATGTATATGTGTACAGTGATTTTTACAAATAGTGTATATGAGTACTGTATGGAGATGATTATATTTGTAATGTGCTATGGTTACACAGTTCTCTCTGTGAGCTGTTTGAGTAAAACAGTTGCTTAATTATGATATTTTGATTTTTCAATTTTCTTTGGAATAGCCCCACACCTCACCCAGTGTTGTTTTCTTTCTCTATGCTCCATGTGTTGGAATGGGATCTAGAGCTCATACTGTATGGTAGGTCTCATTCCCTTTTTTACATCTCATTTCATTCATTGAAAAATAGGCTTGGTCTTTCAAACGAAAATTTGATTATAAATAGTAATAAGGTATGAATATGTATGCAAGAGCTTGGCAGCCTGGGTCTACATGGGTATACTACACAGCACTAAGTAGCCAGTGCTGTAAAAGTACTATTTTTGTTTTTCAACCAATGGTCCCTAAGAAGACAGTATTTTAGCCAAGACTGCTCTGTAAACAGCTGGGTGTTTCTGGACATAGAAACAGACAAATCCACCTTCTAACTGAGTCGGACAGTAAGGCATATGAAGCTCCATGTGAAGGCCATTTTCACAATTTCCATCCAGTAAAAAAAAAGACATACTACAGTAAAGAAAAATCAGATTATTGTTCTTAAGACCACATTTTTAAGACTTACCAGTCCTGCTGGGAAGTAGGGAATTGAGGCAAAGACCTTAAGCCTGATGGAAATCTGTCACTTGTCTCAACCAATACAGAAAGCTACAGCAAGGCTCTTGTAATAAGCTGTGGATTATTCAGACTTGCTTAAAAAACAGGCAAAATGTTGAGAAACTATAAATTCTGCCATGAGATTGCTGACAAACTTTTATTCTTTGATTACCTATGTCACTCTAACCGAGGATAAAAAGTTTAACTCCATTGCAAATGCAATTTTCATGCCAGTTCTGATTATGGATGCCAAAGCAGAAAAAAAACTAATTATTTGAGTATCTCACCAACCCAACAGGCTGATCTTCTGCTGTTCATAAGCTTGAGCCAACATGCAGAGGACTTGTCTTCAGTCTATGGGACCTAATTAATATCGGGTGTCTTGCTGAAAGGCCTCACAAAAAATTTCAATACTTACTGTATTGAGAACAATATAATTCTTATTCAATAATATCATTTGTACAAAACAAAGGAGGTACAAATGCACTTCACAAAAGTATACAGTTACTGTATACTGTATATATAATATAAAGGTATAAATCAATAAATAACATTCCTTGCATCCTATATTGTATTATGAAAGGCATACAGTGTACATTGTGAGAGGGTGATGACTCATTCATCACACGTTCCAGGATTATTTTCCTTAAATGATGAAAGGCGAAGATAAGTATCTAACATACATTCTGTTCATAAAAGACCCATCCTTTAGCATAAGCTTGACATTGAGTTTCAGCAAAATCAACTTTGCAGTGCAGCACCTGTGCTGTTTTCTTTTAAATGTAATAAGACACTATGGGAACCAATGGGTAGAAAAAATCAGACTTCTAAGAAAACCAAGGCCAAGGCATAATATAAAGGTACAGGAGGGTAAAGGGAAAAAAAGGAAAAAAGAAAAAATAATCAGTACTAAATGCACCCATAGCTGGAAACATGCTGTATGCTGGATGTGAAGCCCATAAAAGACCTTTAAATATTACTGATATCTTATAAGAAAAGTAAAATTCAGGTGAAAATGTAATATTATTTTTACTAAGCTTATACACACGATGCTATTACACATTTTTCTCTTAAAGAGCTTTTGTAGAAAAGAAAAGACATGGAAGTTGTATGTTAAGAAGATATACAGTACTTTCTTTCTGATTTTTGATTACACTGTACTACAGCTTTCAGTATATGAGTAACTAGTAGTTTTAATGTAAAAAGTAGCTTTTCCTTGAAATATTCTTCTAGTGAAGGGTAAGATAGACACTTAAGTTCAATTCTAAATTCATTCTGTATATGGAATAGATATTAAGATACCACCACAGGAGAGTACTTTAAAATGACCATTAATAATAATTATTTGGAGGAGGTGATAAATGTAAAGTATGATGTACTTATGTACATGTATTGTAAATGAGTAATGAAGTATCCATTTCTTAAATGACAAGTTATTGCACTTTAAAAGGTCTAAGTTCAGCATTATTTCCTTCAAGCACACCCATATTTGAAATCCCAGGAAAAGGAAGATATATTTGATTCCTACAGTATTCATTATCACCATCAGAAACCTAAGCTGTTAATCTGCAAGATTTACTGATATCACTGAGCCACAATGAGGTGAAGGCTGCTCACAGCTTAGCTGGCATTGATAAAGATTAGTTTCATGTTGGTGATCAAAAGGTTGGCTTAGCTGAAGGCATCTGAGCCAAAGCATTTCTTTTTTGGAAAGAAATCGATAATTTCACTTGGGTCTTAGAGAGTGTGTACTTGTACAAAAAATATTTACACATTGATCCTGTGCTAAATCCGTTAAAGCAATATGTTAAACGTAGCTTGCTGTCCTTGAATATCCTGGTTTCCTGTTTGTATTTTTATGATGTAGTTTTTTTTTATTTTCTTCTAAAATCCTGGACTTGTTTCTGCAATATTTATAAATTAGTGGCATATGCATTGTAAAATGCAGTCACAGTCACTCATAAAATACGCACGTAAACACGTGTGTGTAAAGAGACAGACCATTAAAATTCACAGGGTCATTACAAAGACTTGCAGTAACCTCTGAACAAATGGAGCTATGCAAGTACTGTAGCTGTAGCTGTGTCCAATTTACATACAGTATATGAATTCAAGTACTGGACTTGTGAATGGCAATGTAAAAAAAGATTCATCACCAATAATATACCTGTTTAAAATGACCACCTTCCTGATTAAGAAATTATTTACTACAGTATGTGCATTACATATATGTCTGATAGAAGCGTGTTTCTGAGAATTAAAGCTATACAACATCAAACATCTGTCTATTTACTGTACTTGTTCTCACAACTTCAGGGGTTTTCAGTGGTCAGAGTAGCTGTCATGTGGGTTGGTTCACCTTCCTATAAAGCTGTGACCTCATCAAGATGATCATGTCACATCTGCAAACGAAATGGGCTGGGTTCTCAAAGAAGCTTGATCCATCCAGGGAAGATGCTGCGAAACATTATCCTGATGAAACCCTGTAACTTGTAGTTTTTGTTCCACCCCTTACTCTTAGTTTGTTAAAATGTCGTCATTCAATGCCAGGCTAGCATAGTATAGGTGTTGTTTAGAGGCACAGCACAGGTGTATCTTGAACAAGTTTGCACTGCATATGTGAAAACAGAAAAACTGGGAATGGGAATATTTCAGTAAACTGCTGAGAAAGTCACGGTGACAGTTTAAAACCCACTGCTCCTAGGAGGAGTTAATGTCTGCCTAGGGCACCATTATAGATAGCTGCAGTCCTAGGGCAAGGGGTAGGCTGTCAAGACCTGCTAGTCTTATGTTAGGAACAGTTCTGCAGCCAAGGACTTGAGTTTGTATCAGTTTTTTTTATTATTTTAATTAGGTGAATTACTTCTGTGAATAAAGATAATAGCTTGGATTTCTCCTCTTTTACTTTTGTATTTCATGTTTCTGTCTGCATGCCATGTACAGTATATGAAGGAACAAGTAATAGGTTTATTCCATGCTGAAAAAAAAGAAGAAAGAGAACACAACACAACGTTTCGGCCGTGGAGCCTTCTTCAGCCTTCAACATGTACAGTATATGTTGACTTACATTTTTCAGATCAAAGTCCATGACTGTGCCCACCAGTCTGTGTAGCAGGTTACTGTACATCCCTCTAGTTCTTGTTTAGGTGAATCTGTCCTCACTGATCTGACAACGTAAATAAGTGACCAAAGGATGCTAGTGGTTTCTTTACTAATAAAACCCTCTGTGTGAATACACTTCCCCATATGCCAGGCTTTTCAAATACATAATCATGCCATGTGTACTGTGTGTATGCCATGTGTATTTTTCTCTAGTGAGGTCAGAGTGGAACAATCACTTTCATAATTTCAAACTATATGGAAAAATTCTAAGTTACAGAGAAAAATTATCCAGAATCAGGTGTGATCTAATTGTGAGATTTTAACCAGTCAATAATTGTCTCTTTATGAAGACTTTATGAAATATGAAGTTGAAAATAAGAGCTCAACATGCTCTCGCTACAATCAATTTAACTAAACTAAAACACATACTGTATAGCTCAAAGGGGCCATCCTTTCAGTCATTTGAAGCTTTTCCCTGGAATTATCTTAACCTATGAATTTGGAGTTTTCATGATTTGACATTAAAGAAGAATAAATGTGGTGTTAGATAAAAAAAATGTTTTAGCAATAAGTAAAAAATATTGCCCCTCATAGAGTAGCTTTGCTGCATATAAACAAATGGCTGTAATTCATGCATTTATTTAGTAAGATGTTTTATTAAAGCTGCTGAGGGGTAGTTTAACGATGAAGGTTTCTGGTTGGGGATTCTGGAACGTCACACTCTATAAGACCTCATCCGCCAGTTCCCGCTTGGTTGTGCACCGTTGCCTTGCATTAATCTCACTACGCTGTCCATGTGGAGAGTATTCTGTAAACGCTTCGACAGCTCTGGCTCACATCGCGCCACAGTATCCATTCTGTCATTCTCGGCTACACCCTGCAGACTTCATGCCCTTTTGCTAATAATGCATGTGGCATGCTTTTTGTTAAAGAACCTTTTTTATACCCCTTTCAAATTATTAAAGAACCAGCCTCAATCTTAAAATGCTAAATACAGCAGCTGAACAGATGCGGCACGCAGAGGACATACTCAAGTGTCAACAATGTTTACAGTATGTAGCAAGCAAGAAAAGAGATCTTGTTGTATATTAGTACATATAATCTTTATTTTGTAAAGCACCTCTTGATGTTTGGATCCATATGCTACTGTATACCAGTGAGTTAAGCATATGTAAGACTGAGCAAGAGTGAATCCGTTAAAGCAAACACAATGATGCACAAATTGTAAAACGATAAATTAAACAGAAATTAAACACAGCATGGACAGCATGGTTAGGTTGTGGTTAGGAGGCTTCTGCCTCACAACTCCTGAGTCCTTAGTTTGATCATGGCCTTGTTTGTTCAACAATATAATATGTACATATACAGTATGTACAGTATACAGTACATGCAGCCTCCTACATCACTCCTACATCACTCAGATAAAACCTGTGATAAATGTCCAT